GCTCCATAGTATTTTGTAAGCTTAAGTTATATGTTCTTTGATAAGAAAACCGTGCTTAAAATTTGGCTTAATCTTGAGTTAAACTTGACTATCTTTCGAGGAACCGGGGCCACAACATTTAATTTGGATATCAAAGATGACGACCTGATTGATATGATGCCTCCATGTAAGTTCTTCATCAATCTTCCCTTTTATCGATTTCTTTACTATCGATTATTATTGATATTTTATTCAGTAACGTCTTTTCTTCTTTGTTTTGAAAAGCGTGATGTGAATTCTATTTATATTTAAGGGCAGTTTATTTTTAGAAAGTCACATATGCAGTAATATTCAGTTCTTGATTCATGGTATTACCGTAAATCCTCTATGAAGCCCCCTCTCTCAAATGCGCACCTCCCCCCCTCTAATGAGCCCGCGTTTTCAGGGAAAGAAAGTTTAAAAGCCCTCCCTCTCTTTTAAGCCCGCCTTTTCCTCCCCCTTATTATTCTTCACTAATAAATGATAGACCGTATTAATCAATCACGACTGTAAAACCTCATTTGAATTGATCTGGGATGGTATATTCACTTGTCGTTCGGCTCTGTTTTTGATCCTCGGCTGCATGGCGTGACCTCCATCTTCTTGTTCTTGAGCTTATCCACTTCGTATTTTAGTTCTTTTCGTTTTGGTACCACAATCTTCACTGAATTAAATGATCCTCCTTCTCAAATAAGCCCCTCCCCTTCAAACGTGTTTGAGCTAATAAGCTCCCTGCGGGGGGTTTGTAGAGGATTTGTGGTATATGAATCATATATTAAGTTTTCTGGACAAGTAATCTTTTTGCATTCACTAGAAAACACATACCTTTTTTTGAAGAAACATCAGGCAAAAAAAGTTGATTTGGTTACTAATAGTCCAGTCATTTTTTGGTCGGACTCAGATGATTGCAACAGAAGCTTTCTCTTCGCCAATCAATTAGGATTAGATAATGGATAAGCATACTAAAAGTCCCAAAAAATTCGAGCATGGGAACATTGCAATATTTAATCCCATTTATTACGGGCATTTTTGTTTCCCTAGGACCTGTCCGTGATTCCTTCTTCCCTCTATAGCTTCAACCGGATTTAAGCTACGACAATAAAAATCAGGGAAGCAATAGTAGACACGGAAGTCTGTAAATTCAGAATGGGTCAAGTGATAATAACGCGGCAATAACATTATTTTCGGACCGCCGCCATCTTGGATCCGCCATCTTGAATTAATGTCAGGGGTAAAGAGGTTTTAAATCGCCTCAACCTTAAACTAAGTAACGGGGCTGAAAAGACACTAAAGCTTAGTAAGATGATGGAAATATAATTTACACGGTAATTAGACGGCTAACTTTGTTAAATCTAAACATTTAAGGTGGCTCGACTGGTTTTTTAAGTTACCTCTCAAGTTTGAGCATTTACTACGTCAGCGTTAACAAAAATATCGGAAAAAAGTTACCACAGCTGTATTGTATAGAGACAAGAAGTTTGTTTCGATTCATGTTTCATTGACATCGTAGTTACCACGGCAACGTAATGACGCCTTTACGTTTTATACTTGCCTTTGTATTTCTCGGTACCAGGACGTTTTTTCGAAAATCGCTCAAGGAAGCTTGTACCTCCCTTCGCTGCCTCGAGCCTTTTGGAAATATTTTGGAGCGAATTTTTAGTGGTCACAAAAACAGTGAATAACCATGCAATCGACATAATTGGCTAATAGCTAAAGAAAATGATGAGGTCCGGAAAATTAGTCTCACCTTATAGTGGTTTGATTCCATTTGAAACTGTGTAAGAAAAAAGAGGAGGATCGCCTTGGGCTATTTTCTATTTCTTCCAAAGAAGAATTTGATTAGGCTGTGGTCAGTTGCTTTACTACTTTTTTTGTATGCAATTTGGTCCACGTCTATAAATTTCAGGGTAGTTCAGAAACTGCTCGATAATTTTTTTCAAAAACTTGACAATTCCGAGGTTAATTGCCAATTTATATTGCCTCCGAGTTTCAAGGACATTGAAAACAAGGAAGGCAATCAAATTGGGTTTCCAGTGTCACAAATCCCCCCTCTCAGATTTTGCGTTGAAAGGTGGGCGTCCTCATTATTCATCGGCATTGTTTCTAAGTTTCATATGCACCTGCACAACTTAAGTAAAAAATAATTTGTATTCAAAAGGCCCGTATATGCTAAATCCACACGCGACGATGACCGTTCAATGGACCCCATTATTTAAATTTTCTCAAGTAGATAACCCATTAAAGCATGAAAACATTAAAGAGGCCAATCATTTCAATTAATCCTGTTTTTAAGCAACTGCTGGGACTATTTGGGACTTTTGATATGTTATTAAGGAAAGTTTTCTGTGTCTAAAACAGTTGGAATATCTTCTGTTGCAATTAGTTGTAGGTTAACCTTCTTTTTTCCACGAATGACTGGACTATAAATGGCAAACAGAAAAACCATTTTGCTAATCTGATTTGCTTCTTAGCAATGAACTGTTTTTTGTCTTAGGACAAAGGACAGAGGATACTGGATTCGAATTCGTGTCAAAACAATGAAACAAGAAGGGCATTGCCCTAAAGAAATTGTGGTGTAAGCTATGCATAAAGACAGAATTCATTAAGCACTTGATCATAGTAGTCATGACTGTCCTGAGATACTCCCTTACTCCTTATTAAAAGTACATCATGTTCTACGTTTTTCAAGAAGAAAATATGAAAGCTTGAGTGGAATATTATACACTTAATGTCAGATCCTGAGGGAAACAGTTAGTTTTGTTTTCCCGAGAGTCCTGATGTTTCCTGAGATGAAGTCGAGGGAAACATTACCACTCGAAGGAAAACAAAACTAACTGCTTTCCCGAGGGACCCGACATTAAGTGTTTTGTTGTATTTCTAGACTTTCACTTCAACAGCAACAAAAGAATAACCGGAGTGAGCCAAAACAGTCGACTTGGTACTTATAACAACACAAGTTTAATTCTTAGTATACTTTCCTTATATTATCTGCATCTTTTTCCTCCAGTGGCTGCTGTTTCTCTTCTGGGATGACTTTAAAAATGGTTGCTTTTTAGCTTGAGGCTTCGTGTTTGTGTTCAAGTTGTTGTGTTCATTCACGAAAAAGAAAACAGGCAGTGTTTTTCCAGCTTCTGTCACACCACTTTCCACCATACTCTGATCACGTGCTGTAATGTAGCCCGAGCGGGGTATACTGCTTCACGTATCACGATCGGGATACATTTGATTTTAGTCAAGGCCACGTGACCAAGAATCAACCAATGACAGTCCCTATTTAGTTGAGTGAAAGCCTAGGAATAGAACAAAATGATTTTGTTCTCACAGATTCTTGAAACACTGCCACACCTGTTCAGTAATTACTAAGACAGGAATCGCTGGAAATATTGACCTTGAGCTTTTCCGCTGTCTCTTACTTAGGGTGCTTTCCATTTGTCAGTACTGACCGGCCAGCCCATTCCCATCGTAATGATGGTATGGCCATCGTCCGGCTAGCCAGTTCTGACTTTTGGAAAGCGCCCATAGGCCAAGTTCACGCTATACCTCATAGCTTCTCCTGTCGCTATCCGGCAAAGTATGAACACTAGTTTAGAAATTGACCTACTTGCCTATGTTAATCTTGTTGACGGAGAATTTTCTTTTCAACGGATCAATGTTCAAAAAGTAATCACATTACTTATGGATATCGATGTAGGTAAGGCAACTGGTCTTGACAAAATTCCGATCAGGCTTTTGAAGATTACTGCCGATGTTGTCGCGCCCTCTTTAACGGGTATCGTGACTGGTATTTTCCTCTCTGAATGGAAAGTGGCTAAACCGCTACTAATTTTTAAGAATGGTTCTAAGTCTGACCTACAGAACTATTGACCTATGTCTGTTCTTCCTACCGTAGCCAAAATTTTCGAAAAAATTATCTATGACCAACTATATCACTTTCTGAATGAAAACGGTTTGTTAAACAGCGGCCAGTCTGGTTTCCGCTCGCTACACAGCACTCGTACTACCTTGTTGGAGACAAACGATAGCTATTGTGTCAATATTAATTATTTATGTAATCTTTATTGATTTGAAGGAGGCCTTTGACACTACTAACCACGAGGTAATTCTAAAAAAAACTTACTAAATACGGGGTTGATCAAGTCGCCCTGAAATGATTTTAATCTTACCTAACTCACCGTATGCAAAGGTGTAATGCAAATAATCATCTCTCTAGAGCGAGCCCTCTAAATAGTGGCGTACCTCAAGGGTCAATAATCGGTCCTCTTCTTTTCTTGATCAATATAAATGATCTACCAAATTGTTTGAACACCGAATTACCATGTATTTTCGCAACGCCAAGAAAAAAATTAATGCTCCCAAAACCCAGAACTGATTGCCTGAAGCTTTAGTTACAATGGCGCTCTTCTATGGAACAATCTTCCTGAGGAAATACGTACATCAAATTCCTTAGGTCTCTTTAAGAGAAGTTTCTATAGATGGTTTTCTGATCAGTACTCCCACACGGCAAATATACAAGACAGTTTTTGAGAAATGTTTAATTTTCGATGTTAGACTGATGTTTTTAACCGTGTATAAATAAAGTCATCATTCATTCAACACCTATATATCCGTTATGCGAATCTCCGCTTTAGATATCGGCGCGGCGCAGCTTCGCTCCGTTCTTCTGTATAAACAGAGCCTTTTCCGGTGTGTTTTTTTGCCGGCGGAAAAGCTATCCTGTATCCGGTGTACAGTGTACGTAGCCTTAGCCATACCTACAAACTTTACCTTATCAATTTACAAGTTATAAATGACGCTTCGTATAGAATAATAAGCCACTATGAAGAAGCTTGTAAGATGTTGTAACTATGAAGAAAAATAATTTTATCGCCTTTCGCATCGAATAAAGAAAAAGCGCACCCTGGAAATAAAAATAAAATTTGACTAAAACCTAAAAAAATTTGTTTCCCTTAGTTGCAGGGAACAAGGATAAGTACTTCGTTTCCATGCCTCTTGTCACACCAGCAAGTTCTTCTACAACAGAAACAACAAATTATTCTAGGTTATGCCGCGTGCTTGTCGATTTGGGCACTTGTGCCCTCAGGGATTGCTTCGATTCTATCTGCACACCGCCAACTCTTCACACAGTCTTGGCAGCTAATCAGCCCATCTTGCAAAATTTGAGATCACGAAGGATCATCAATGCAACCCAATGGGGAAAACTCTTTCCTGCCATCCCTACTTCAGTCTCATCAAAGAATTTTGACATCACTTTATTGATGACTTTGCTGCGCAATATATGCGGTCTAGCTCCCCCAATGACAGGATGGGATGTGCTCCCTGCGGTCACTGACACGAGCTGTGAAGCAGACATCGCACGAGTCAAATACTTCAGAAACGTGGTGTATGCTCATGCTGAACACGCTTCCGTTGATGATTCAGAATTTCAGACACTGGAAAGATATCCGGGATACTCTGGTGCGGCTAGGAGGAGTTAACTATGAGGTCAAAGTCTGCTATTATTCCTGTTGTTGTTGTTGCTTTTTTTTTTCTAACTACAAATTTTCAGGAAAATCTTAATACGTACATTATAAACCTATACATTTATTTAACGAAACCCAACCGTATTTTCGTGGCTTACTTTTTAAAACCCTTAGAAATTGGTATGGGAGGTGCGGGAAAAGCCTGGGAATGATAGAATGTTCACAGCCCTTCATTTTCCCGAATTTTTATTTGATGAACTCGCGAATTCACGCAAGTGTTGAAGTGGAACGCTAGGAACGGCTGTATGATGAGATCCTACTTTACCTTACAACAAGAACTAATTTTTTCTCAACTGCATTTATTGATGTCATAGAGTCCTTTTTTAAAGGTTGCTATTGACGATCTTGAAGTTATCTGTATGGACCCAGATATGGAGTGCCATTACAAAGACCTTCTAGCGCAGTGG